ACACACACACACACACACACACACACACACACACACACACACACACACACACAAAACCCTTTGCAGAAAATTAGGTCACGGTTGTTTTAAAAAGTAGTTAACTTGTAAAATACACAAGGCATGTCCAGAAAGGTCATTTAACTAGTCACTAATTTCAAATTCCTCACCTTTCTTTCCTTCATCAACTGAACACAGGGACACCAAAGGTTTTTTTTAAGGTTCATTTTTATAACTTTCGAGAAAAGCTGCCATCTATTCATGATAAGAGATAAAAAAAAATCTGAATTTCACAATTCCACCAAAGCCCCTCACCACAAACTTACCATTTTCAGCATGTTTGCAGCCAAAGGAGAAACTGTGGAACGATACCGGTTATGCTGGTCCACAATCAGCTCCTTTTCCTCATCTGTAAAGGACCAGCTCAGCTCCATCGCTGTGAGCAGCAGGAGGAGGAGGAGGGAAAGGAGGGGAATCTGCAGGCCTGAGCTCAGCATTGTGGCACTGTCTTGTTGTAACAGCCCACGGGTCTGGCAGACAGCTTTAAATCCTTTCCCAGAGTAAGGAACACCCAAAGCCCAAGAACTGCAAGGAGGATATTTATCTTTTTTACTAGAAATGCCTTTCAGAGCCATAGAGGGAACACACCCATCTCATATAGGATCACTGATGGAAGATGAATGGCCCTTCAGGGACAGTCAGTGAAACTAAGGCTGTTTGATCAAATGGGTAAAGGGCAGGTTGTTTTGCAGGCCAGGCTGCTCTAGCCTTGCTCGGCCCATTATTAGCGCTAAAATTTAGCTCACTGGAGCGGATCGTGCGTATTCTACACACTTCTCACATTCTTCTTCTCCAAACACTTTTAACACTAAACTGCCCACCAGAATTTCTTCACTCGTTGGAAAAATCTCTTTGGACACAAGGATTTCATGTAGTGATGCAATCAGCAATACTGACTTCTTAAAGAAAAGAAAAATGGGATCAAAGCCATTGCTAAACTGACTCAGCCCTGTGGTCCTTTCAGACCATCGATGATCCCACTCATCTCAGGCTCAGGAAATGTGGCAAGGCTAACAGATAAGCCAGACAATCCTTTTCAGGTATGGGGATGCTATGGGCTGCAAATTACATATACCGTAGTGTACTCAGATGGAAAAAATATTAGTGACAGTTTTGCATTCGCAACACCGATCCTGGTTGAACTGAAAAAGATGGGAAATGTATATTATTCTGACATCCTCTGGAAACAGAACAAAAAGATAAAAGATATCAAAGAAGATAAAAGTGCTGCAATAATTCAAAAAGAGACCATCCTTCTGCCCAGCCTACCTGATCGTGGGTAAAAATGCTTTATAGTTGCATATATTTCCAGATAATATTTTTTTATCTAAAATAGGTATGTTTGTTGTATTTTGCAATTCACATGAATCCAGAGTTCATAGTTCGTTCATTCATGGCTTGTTTGATGGTTTGTTTTTTGTTTGTTTAAGTTCTAAAGACTTCCTAGTTTCTGTCCATGGTCAAAGAAATTTATATTGATACCATTTCAGGTTTTTCAATGCTGCATAGAGTACAAATCTTGCTATCTACTGTGTTTCCCCAAAAATAAGTCAGGGTCTTATTTTCTTTTTACCCACAAAATAAGCGCTTGGCCTTATTTTTGGGGAGGTCTTATTATTTTTGAAGTGCAGGAAGCGACGAGCGTGGTCACCTCATGGCTGCTGCTGTGTTGCAATATTTTCATGGAGGGCTTATTTTCAGGGGGGCTTATTTTAGCGCATGTGCTCAAAAGCCTGATTGAGCTTATTATCCGAGGAGGTCTTATTTTCAGGGAAACAGAGTAGCATTATTTGCAGAAACCATAGTACATGTTACATTTATATAAAGGTTGGTTGGTTGAATATTTTTTCTTGCTTAAGTGGATCACTATAGCTAAGGACAGATATATAAAATAATTACAGAGGAAGCAACCCTAATCTTGAAATTAGGTTGTCATAACCAGTACTGTCTAATTATCATGTCTATTTGCATTCTGCATGTCCACCATATAATTTTGTAGATCTAGACTCAGTTATGAATCTTTGAATGATTGAAATTAATGAGGAATTTACTGGTAAATCCA